GTAACCAGATTAGATAATCAGGAAATAGTGTAGCCTCATGAAAAAGGCAATATATTATCGTGTCTTTTGATAAAGGGGAAGAAAGTAATTTATTTTCAGAAAAAAAAAGTATGAAAAGGAAAATAATGAACAAAGACGTCAAACTGTGTGATAAACATTACTCCATTGGGAATTGTACGTCCTAAGAAATAAATAACACGTTGGAGTTAAATGATAGTTCTTTTTGATCTTTCAAAAGAAATTAAACTAGCTAGACTTTTCAACAAAAAAATACAGTTGTCTGGAACGAAAATAAACTTTTAGCTCAGCATGCACTCCTGTATATCTTATGGGTTTAAGATTTTTTTTTAAAATTATGCGAATGACACTACCAATTAAAGGAAATAAAACAAAACTGTTTTATAAAAGTCATTCCTTACGAAATAATGTTATTGTGAATTAACAAAAATGTATGAATGGATTTTAACACAAAGAGTTTGAATCTGAAAAGAAAACATTTCAAAATAATTATTTTCATGTATGTATATATTTCTAATTCACTCAGCAAAAATTTAGCACGGAAAAGAGTAGTGTTACTTATTCCAACGTTTTTATTCAAAAAACAATTATTTATGCAAATTTTATTTATTTATTTTTTAAAAAAATATATAATGTATGCTTTATTAAATAAAGCAGCTAATTATTTAAAGAAAATAGAAATTTAACTTTCTTATTAAATTTTAAACTCTTCCTACATTATTATCTTATTATTCGTCTGTTGCTAACACACGTTCGTATATATTCTACATTATTTATAATGCAATGAGCAAAATAAGAAAAACGACCCCGATAAACTTTTTATCTAGTGATTGGATCTTCACGTTTTAGGACTCAATCTTAATGCGTCAGAAAAGTGACCTCAAATATGATAATTAATTAGTGTAGACGATATTTTAAAGCACGATATCAGACACAACGGTGGAATGTTTTGCCCCTTAGAGTAAATTTTGCTTGTTGCGTATTTCGCCATATCTCGAGAATATTTTAAGTGAATTGAAAAATTTTTACTCACATTTATAAAATTTGTTCATCCAAAGTGATTTTCAAAGTGATTTGATACAAGTAATTTTCTTACATGTGAGTATCAACTCACATGTATTAAAATAGCTTTTATTAAATCATGATGCAAAATCATGATATTAAACACCCTTCTATTGCATAAAATTAACCACTATTTTAGAAATTCTCCTAAAATAAAATTTAGTCTACTTGATTAAAAACTATTCTGATTAAAAGAAAATTTGTTAAGTTAAAATTAAAATTATCTCTGCTAAAACTCAATTTTGTCTATATATCTACATTTTACAGTTTAAGTTACATATTTGGAGGACTGGAAAGTAATGCAGTTTCAGAGCATTAAATATTCGTTAGTCTTAAAAACCAATTAATTTTTTTTCGATCTATTTCGATTCGGCATTGAAAGTTTGTTGCTAACGAGGGTGAATACATTATTAATTACAAATAAAATCTTGATAACAAATATCAAATGCACCGAAATGACGCTACTTTCCGGTGCCCCTAATATATTTGCGCGTTTGGTTTTTAGAACTTTCATCCTTATATAAATGTTTGCCAACAAATTGTTTTAACAATATGTCAAAACTTACTAACTAATGATTAATTTTATATTGGCTTGGCAAGTAAGTTCCTTTCTTTTTTGAAAGTTTTCAAATGTTTCAATTGTGGGAGCATTCCACTTTCTCTTATCATTTGAGACAAGTTTTCGTGCAAAGCTGTTTAATCCATTGATTAATGAAATCAATTGGATGTCCAAAAAAAATTAGCGTTTTTATGCCAAAAGCGAGCGGTTGTTTCAGCTAATGCATCATCTCCATACACAGAACAAATGTCACTAGCTGCTTTCATGGCCTCTGACCCTTGATTAAAAGCAAAAAGAAGATGTTGAAATTGCTCATTTTTTCCAACTTTACATTCCAATAATAAAACAAAACATAGATTCCATTAGAACAAAAAATCCTAGCTGAAAGTTAAAATTAAAAAAAAATGGTGGGAATTTGGGTGCCAACCCAATAGTTAATTAAAAGTAGACGAAGAAACCTGATGAAGAAAAATGGCAGATTTAATGTCGAGGAGTAATAGAAAATGGTACTTTATAAAAAGAAATAAGAAAAAAAAGCTTCACAAAAGAAGAAAATTACTTCTAGATTTTATGAAGTAACTGTCTTTTTTTAGATATTAGAAATAATTGCTACTACCACGAAAGCTTTGCTTTTCCTTTAAGAATGTATATAGCAAAAGAACGTGTGAAAACTTCAAGATAAGACTTTCGTTGACAAAGGAATTCAGCAAGACGACTTCACTGATAAAGAAAATGTAGGAAAAAAATATTCTTCATGCTCCAAACTTAGTATTTAAGCTGTGTGACCTTTAGAGCTTATCTCTGTATTCTTCCTTTTTATGCCATGCAATAAACTCATGGCATTATATATATGTCTAAGCAAATCGATATGCTTTCAAACTTCTTACTCATGCATTTTCGTTACTCTTTTTCGATATTGTAATTCCTAATATCTCTATTTAGCATAAGAACATAACGGTATAACATTTTTCTGTCGGCTCATTTATATTGGCCAAAAACTCACACTGTAGAATATCGTTTTTCCATATGAATTTAAATAATTATTTGGTGGTCATCAGCATAAAATTAATACAATTCATAAAGGTATAGTTTTCACACAAAATATCTCGTATCTCTAGTTTAGCGGTATTTACCTGTAACACTCGTAATGTTTCTTATAATACTCTGCTATTATTACAGTGAGAAAAACATATATTCAAAACTTTCAGTATATTATAAAATTTATCATGTTTTTGGTTCTATGGAAACACCAAAAAGTTTGGTAATTCTTACCGATGCGCTTAGGTAAAAGATTTTGTCATTATAATAACATATGTTTAATAATAGAACAGGGCTTTTCAAGGTGTGATAAAAAATGATAAATGGGGTAAAAATTTGGTCATTTTATCATGATAAAAATTATTTATTGCAAAACTCACAAAATTTGGTATAACGACCTTTAACTTTAAAATATATTTTAAAAAAATGATTACTAAGCAAAACTATTTATGCTTTGTTCTGGTATTTTTACATCTCAATAGAATGACGAATAAAACCTTTGAACGTAATAAGAAGCTGCCACAAACGTAACCAAGCAAAAATCTTATATTTCAAGTGAATAATTTCATAGTTCGAAACAAAAACTATTTTCTGCCAGGAAGCACCAATTTTTGTGAAGCATCAATTGGGGAAGATGAGCAGCTGTGATCATGAGCTAAGCTTCTTACTGTTGTTTAGAAAATATGCTAAATATGTTTTTTTTAGACACAAGGTGTTAGATTGATTTGAATATTTTCAGTACTCTTTTCGGGCATGATTTGTCTAAGAATGATATTTTTTCTTTACCAGAAACAAAAATGTTAAAATTTTGCAATTGGGGGCAAATTTATGGTAGATGAAGTCGTGAAATTCATAAATTTGAATCAAAAATCAAAATCAGTAGAAAGAGTAGAAATGCTTATTAAAAAAAATATATTTTGAAAAATTTTTAAAAATGTATTTTTTTCAACTACAATAATCATTTAATATTTAATAAGGAAAAGGGGCATTCTTACTTTATAAAAAAAATGTTACCTAAGAAAAGCTTGGAATTTTAAAATAAATGATACCTTACTCTGGGACACATTCCTAACGCCAAAAAATTCTAATTTTTCCTCTGCGCTCACAGCATGATGAAGTTATGCTGAATCTTTGAAAGCAGTTTTATCAATGATATTTTTCATGATATAACAGTTTTTAAATGATGTGCATGAAAATTTATAATAAAGATCCATGATTTCTGGAGTAAAATTATTTTAGGAGCTCCCGCTCTTCGTAATTTTAAATAAAAGTTATGATGCATAAATGTTTTAGCAAAACGATGCATTTGGCAAGGACAAAATAAATACACATAGTAATTAAAATGTTATTTCATCAAATACGTCAAATTTTAAAATTAATAAATTTGTAATTTTTTTTAAGCCTTAAACACTGTTGATTAACAATTTTGAAAACTTAGTCTACTTAAGCAATCGATGAAAAATTCAAAAATTTTTTTTAAAAAAATTCATGTATTTTGAAAATTAAAACAAAAGTTGTCCCTTTTTTTAGACATTCACAAAATGCTTCTTAAATGTTAATACATGTTATACTTTTATTAAAAAAATTGTCATTATATGAAAGCATCAGAGAATATAAAAATTTAACTAAATGTGTAAGTCCTTCCTATTAAAAAAGACTTAATATCATTAATATGTAATAATCTCATTTCGGGGGATATTTTCATTTGAACTTTTAAACAACAATTTCTTTATTTTCTTGCAGAATGCTGGATTTTGATGAATGAAGTTCAGAATTATGCAAAAAGGTAAGGGTACAATATTTTCAAATACAAAACTGTACATATAATAAATATTAAATCATATTGAATTATTTTTCAAAAAGTATCATCATTAACTTAAATGAATACGTGAAAAATAAAGCTTTGCTAAAAGAACTTTACATACAAGTTACCTAACATACAGGTTTTACTCTTTTTACTTTAAAAAGTACATTTAATATTATAATTTCCTATTTTCAAGCATTTATAAGTAAATATTTCAGAAAAATAAACTTTGAAAAAGGAAAATAAGAAATATTTTACCTTTTAATTTTTTTTCTATTTCAGAAATTTTTCAATCAAAAAATATGTAATTGGATACTTAATTAAATACATAACTATGCTTATGCACAAAAAATGCCAATTTACATGAAAATTTTTATATTTTCTTATAAAAATAATCTTGATTAGTATATTACGTAATAATATCTATTGTGTTGCATAGTAAGATCAAAAATTAAAATGTAAAGGAGATGGGAGCTGTCTTCTAATAGATTTTATATAATCACGAAAAAGGTTACTTACTTTCACTTTCACTCCATTTATGTAACCACCAGATATATACTTTTTTCCAAGTTAAAGAATTAAAACTTCTTTTTTTTTTACGGAAACAAGTCAAGTAATCAGCAAAAACATTAAGAATCAGAATAAAGTTAGTAAATTTCTAACTTTCTTTTCAAATTACACTTGGAATGAAGTTTGTAAAGTTAATTAAAGTTTCAGGCTTTTTTATGTAAAACACCTGATCCTACACGCTCTTTCATTATACTTTTTTTGCACTGATGTTCTTTTGGATCTAAAAGCGGTAAACGAATCTAATGATTCTGCAGAGAGAATTTGGAAACAAGCCGTTGCTGCCCTACATCAACCGCCAAATGGCGACCATTTTCTACGCCATGGACATTTATTTCAGAATGATACCACAAAATTCATCAAATATTTCGGGAAATAAAAACCAATTTGTCAAGATGATTTTTTTTAGTGCTTTGCTTTGCAATTTCGCTTATTTTTTTTATCAAAATTTAGTTTTTGTTTTATTCGATGGAAATAATATAAATGTAACTAAAAATGCATTCTAACTTTAGTTTAGATTTATCTTATTTGAAATGTATTGTAAATGTTCTAAAGATGTTATAAGCACTTTAAATAATAATTCAAGATTTCATTACAATTAAAAGTACTTCCATTTATCACAAAACTTTATAATCTAAAAAATAAATGCTTTTTGTTTACAAAAGATACTTATAATTCAGCTGTAAAAAATTAGGAAATAAAAGTTGGGTAGCATACATACATTGTTTAATGTAACCTGCACTATAAAAAGTCCTGACAAAATTACTGTAAAAGTAGCGACAATCAGAGTGACAGTACATTTTATCGTAAAATCCAATTTAATTGTAAAATTTCAAATCGTAATTTTTTCAGCAATTTTTTTTCAAAGCAGTTATTCAGTAAAAATTACAGTACATCAGATTTTTTTTGTTTTCGAAATGTTGTGATAAAAGGGGATTCCGTAAAAAGTACTGGAAACCTTAGTGCCAGCAGTTTTTACCGCAATTTTATCAGAAATTCTTTATGGTGTACTCAAAGACTTAAAGTTAATAAATATACTAATGTTGACGCAAATAATCCACATAACTGTCCTAAGTTAATGTAACTTAGGAATCTATTTCAAGATTATATAACTTATGCATCTACATAATGTTAATATAATGAAAGTTATGTTAATGTAATGTTAAAGTTAGAAAAATTGTTTCTGAAACAAAGCGAAGGAAAATACACGAATTTGATTAAATGCAGATTTGAGAATCCAATTTGCTAAACATATTTTTATTTTATTAAAAAAATATATTGGAAAAGTATTTTTGAGAATTTTTCTCATTAAGTATCATAAATTTAGTCGACTTATTTATTTTCGTATAGTTTAATGTGCTTATTTCAAGATTGTGTACCTTTTTTAAGAAAAAAAAGACATTTAGTAATAGCTAGATGTGTATTAAATGCAAGAAGATAATGTGTAAAGTTTATGCAACTTAAGTATCTACTTAACTGTTTTGATTTTGAAGTAAAAAAAAATTTTTGTAGTACGACCAGCAAAAATTTCATAAATTCGACACTTAAAATGCTCTTTTGTGAAGTGCATTAAATTGACTCTAATTTTAAACCTTGCAGAAGTAAAGTTGTATCAATTTGACCACAGTTGGACATTTTCGTTGATTTAAAAAAATGCATTCTAAGTTTATTTTCAACGAAATTCTTTAATAAAAGTTTCACCTTTCGTCTCCTTAGTGAGTTTAGTATAGTTTAAACTTTTTTCAATAGATTCTGAGGTTAAAGAATTCTAAGAAAATGTGTGCTATGTTCCAATTCCAATTCTAAGTAAGTATGCTATGTGTCATAGTTAGAAAACTGATTTGCTACATTCTCAGAAGTGTATTAAATACAGAAAGATAAGGTGTAAACTTCATTTTGTGTGTGCTATATCGCCATGTTTACGAATAAATAAATAAATTTGAAGTAGAACTATTGGAAATCATTCCTGCAAAATGTTACAGATTTGTTTTTTGTTTTTGTTTTTCTTTTCTTTCAGGTTTTTATACTAATTACAATTTTCGTGACGTTCATCCACTAATATATCAATAGTTATATTTTGATCAATTCTCCCTCCTTTAGATTCATTATAATACTTATAAGGGCCACATAATCCTATCTTTTAAATTCAGTACTCGAAAATTTTAGCATTGAACCAAGCAGATCATATATTACATTTAAAATCTCCATATTGTGATTTATAAAATTGCACTGCAAGCAGTTTTGAATTTAAAAATAAATGCAAAAGTAAGCAGCAATAAATTTATTCAAAAAATAAACACGCTAAAATTTATAATTGATAACATTACGATTGCACACGTAGAAAAGAATTTCGGCAAAATTTCTGCACTGTATGGTATATAGACAATTTAGGAAAAAAACATAATAATTGAATTAAAACCCAAAATATATGGTATTTAAACCGTTCTTCCGCTCGTTTGGTAACGGTTTACTAGAAATTCTGGCTATCGAAATTATAGTTCTTATTACCACACATTTAGTAAAAAAATATAAAACTGAAGATTAAATTTAATTGAGTAAATGGTTTTTATGCCGTGCTAAGATATCATGAAAAAATAACCAAATTTTACCAGATTTACAAAATTTTATGAAGCATTATCAATGCCTATTTATTAATTTTACCAAACACATTATCAAAATTTTTGATAAAGAGTTTTTATTGTTTTGTTTTCCCATTGAGCTAAAAACACTGTAAATTTTACCATACTCTGGTAGATTTGATCATACATTTCTTTTCTCATGCCCGTTTCAAGGATGATTCATAAAATTAATGGATGGTATGCTAAAAAAAAACTTCTTAATTTGAGTGCCTTATGTATGAGTTAAATATTTTCTAGGTATTTAATTTTCCACATTTGTGTTTTTAAGACTAGTCCAATTGCACTAAAAAAGAAACAAGACAAATTAATTTTATTATTAAATTTTTGTCATTAAATATGGTGAAATTATGCTTCACTAAAAACACTTCATTTTAATTACCGATAAGACATAAAATATTACTCAATTTGTAAGACAATTTTATGAAGGTATTTGATGAGGTTTTACATTTACAATGTTTTAATTTATTATGTATATATGAGCTAGAAATGAGATTTAGCAATTTTTTCTCCTCATCGAATTTTCTTCGAAATCATATTTTACTTGTAAAGCAAGAGAAATTTCGTATCTATTCTGAAATTTCAGTCCAGAAATTCAACTTGTTTTCCACTCGAAAAGAACTTCTATTAGATTTGTTGTTACAGATTTCAAGAAGCTCTTATTTTGATGCTTCAGCGACATTTTTTTTATCGTGTTTGAATTTCAAGAGAGTTGTGTTTCGAAGAATATATCCAGATTTTTTTGATAGATTCGAAAAATTCAAGAAATTTTCTTATTTCGATCTAAAAAGGTTTTTGAGATCCTAGAATATTAAGCAGATTATACTTAGTGTTTTTATTTCATGGTACGTTTCAAAATTCATAATACATTTAAAAGTTGAGAAGTTGAAAGCATATTTTTAACTACATCTGTAGTTTGAGATTCAGTTAAAAATGAAAGGAAATTTATTAACTAAAAAGTTTATAACTTTAAAAAAAAATTTACCAAAATACATTGCACTGAGTTAAAGGTTTTTCAATGAATTTCGGAAACAAATAATGATTCTTTATAACTAAATTAGGATTTAATTTCTTTTATAGTTTTTCTGAGTTAAAATCCATAAAAGAATGCGTAAAATTGAAACTGGTTGTGTTTTTAGACAAAAATGACGTAAAGAACAAAATTTAAAAGAAGAAAAAAAAATGAAATTCTGAATCATTTTTGACCTAATCATTGGATTTTCCCGCACCAAAGGTACTCTTAATGGAACGAGGTTCTAATCTTAAATATACTAATTTATTAGAGCAGATAATAGTTTAATTCAAAAAACTAAGCATTAAAACATACTTTCTGAGAATGAATAGATACTTTCTTGCTGGATTTTGTTTCTAGAACAATAAAATATTGTGAAAATCTGCGATCTGAGAAAAATTGCTACAATAGTTTATGAAAAAAAGTGATCTAAAATTTGAGCCTCTTAACGTAAATTTTTTTTTGTGCGTGTGCATTTCGCCTTCTCATAGTATTCGTTGTGAAATTAGGATTTCCCAAAAATATTTCAGAAATTTCTCTTCAAATTTCATATTTTTTAGCTTGTTAGTGTTACGCAGATCAAATTGGTGTAGAAATGTGTAGATCGTTTAATTCTCTTCATAAAAGTGTCATATACAAAGTTCGTATTTTATTACAAAAAGTGTTTTTGTCCATTTGTAAATAAAATGGTAAAAACTAAAAATAATTGTTTAAGAAAATTACATGGTATTTTTCTTAGAAAACCAAATCTCATAATTGTAAGCAATTTTTTTTAAATTCTTCTAAAGCCTTTTAAAGTACTGGAAAATTTTCAAAAGCGAAATTACGATCATGAACCCTCCGACCACTCTCCTTTTTCAGACTGTTTTTTGAAGGCTCCATTGTCGCATAAAATGAAGCTTTTTTGCTAATATCATCTTATTTTAGATTTGAGTACGCGACAACTACTCATGACGGCTAGGTCAAGTTTAGCTTATCTTTAGCCAGTGTCTTCAAAGCTAATTCCAAACATAGCTCAAAAGATTAAAATGGATAAAAACCACAATTTTGAAAAAGTGGAAAGCGTTTACTGTATAAGTTATTGTACTTTAAAATCTTATTTCGACTGTGCATTCTCTAGGCTTATAAAAATTTACAAAAAAGGACAATAGGGTATTGAATTTCATAATTTTATCTAATGAGGAAAAAGTGTCACTAAATTGTCGACTTTTAAAAAAGTTTAATAACTTTCAAATATTTAAGTTATTTGCCCATTCCCAGATAATTCTTCAAGGAAAAGTGGCCGATATAGTTTAGTAGTATAGCAAGTGTAAGGGTCTTAAACTGGGGTTTGTCTTCCTTTTAGCTATTTTTTTTATTTATTTTTTTTATTTAAACGGCTTAAAACTCCTCATGCACCACAAAGTATAGCATGAGGCTTACAGTTGTAAGTAGAAAACAAAAAGGAGAAAAATTTACAAATTTACATTAAAAACAAAATTCCGCAAGACTTTCAATACTTTTGACCAGTTCTGATAAGACAGGTGGCCAACAAATAGAAAGATGTCTCAAATCAGTCTTTAAATTCATTCGGGCACTCGCATACAGACTACAATGAAGAAGAATATGTTCAGCATCTTCATCAGCATCACCGCAAGCACAAATTCCACTGGTCTGCAGATGGAAACGAAATAAATATCTCTTAAA